CCCCGCATGCTCCTCTTCTCCCTCTGAATTAGCTTCTGTCTAAAATGTTAGATCTCACCCAATCGGAGATAAAAATTACTCAAGCATATGATGAAAAAAATATTTATTACATTTCAGAACGTGCAAACGAAAGTACAACAGATCATAAGGCAAATCAAAATGCATGCAATATTTTTGCTCCTTGGGCCACACCAATAAATTTTCTTGTTCGTCGGACCCGCCCGCTCATATTTAAACAAAACTATAGAAATAATATTAATTTAAATTTCCCGCACCATAAAAATTATGGGCTATTTTCTGTTCCATATCTGCTCTATTAATCATTTGTTTAATCTGCTAACTCTGCAAATCAGATAAAATATAATTGTCCGCTCAAATTTTTTCACGCTCCGCCTAAAAATTTTACCTTCAAAAAAGTAATAATATTATTATTTAACCGCTTGCCCGCTCGTACTTTTTTCCATCAAAAATCCGACGAACAAGAAATTAAATTGGTGTGGCCTTGTGATTAATTTTTGGGCAGCCCTGGAATCTAATCCTAGATATGATGAAAAGATTCTCTGAAAGCAATTTTTTGCTAAAGCCAAAGAATGAATATGTATTTTAAAAATTAGTTAGCAGTGAGCAACAGAACTGTCTCCATTATTCACATCCTGAAAATTTTCATCAACAACAACAAAAAAAAAAAAATAAATAAATAAATAAAAAAATAAATAAATGAGCAAGAAAAAAACCCACAACATGCCATGTAAAGTTTAAACTGCGAAGAGTCAGTCTATATATATGTTGATGTCTCTCCTTCAACAAATCAGTCACAACTGAAGCCAAAAAATGTATACACTGTATATATTTTATCTGTCTCTTCTGTTCACAATATTTTTTAGTCTTCTCTTTTAATTTGAATTTCTTCGGAGAAGCTGTCTTCTTCTTTGTTCTGACAACTTATCCTTGCCCTTCTTCAGAGGACCTTGCTCCATAAGAACTCTCTTAGTTTCTTCTGCAAAAAAAAGGGATTTTTTTAAACAAAAATGTTTTTTTAACATTAAATTAGCCAGTGAAGACTGGTTTTGTCGTATTTAGTATAACGTACCTTCCCATTTAAGGTAATCATGTTCGTCATCTAGATCCTGAATAAGGATCGTCTTAACTTGTCCAGGAATAGGAGGTAACTTAGGCACACTTGATTTGTAATTGATATTCATCATTACAGTCTTTTTAGTGACATCTGGAGGATGAGTGGCGTCCCCATGGACTTCCTTCGGTGTGACACAAAACATCATCTCTGGGAGAGTTTGAATGTCAATCTTCTCTTGCGCCATTTCTTCGTTGACCTCTTCGATCTTTTTGTAGGCGGCTTCCTCCTCGTCAGATAGAATGCCAATTTTATTATTTTTTCTCAAGCAACTTTGGAACAAACCCATTTTGGTATCTTGACAACAAATTCGCGCTCTGTACCAACTAAGCTATTATGACGTCATAATACGAATGACGCCTTCAAACGTCATAGTACTATGACGCCAAATAATTATGACGTTATAGATATTCCAGAAATATTCCAAAAATATGAAATTGAAAACTAAATTGTTTTGCTTTAATTTCAAAACATCTACTTTTAAAAAGCGATTTCATGATAACAGAGTAGCTAAGCCCAAGGCAGACTCTTGAGGTCAAAAGGTCAAGGTCAAATAATAAATTAATAAATTCTGTCACTTTCGTTTCCGAGCTATATCTGGAGAAGCTTTTGAGTATTTGAAGTAAATTTTTTTTACCACAACTCCCTATGGCCTATGGAAGGCCATTATTGATTTTGAGATAAAAAGGTTATAGGTCAAGGTCATTAGTTCATTTTGTGTGTGTGAGTTTGTGTTAAATCTTTCATTTCCGGGCGATATCTCCAGAAGCTATTGAGTTTTTGTAAGAAAATTGTATGCAATAACTCCCTATGGTCCGCCCGCCATTCTTAAAATGCCCCCTCGACCCCCAACCCCCCTTCTTTTTTCCTTAAGCCGTGGACACAGATTTTCTGTTTCTTTTTAAATCTGGGATCGAGTCACTTTTCCCTATTTTTTATTCTAATATGCACTTTGAATGATATCGATAATGTTAACCTTTTATCTCTATAAGCTGTTTTAAATATATCATTTTCGACAGGTACAAAAGAGACAAAAGGGTTACATTATCGATAAAATAATAGATGAAATGGAAAGGGGGAGGGGGGTGTCCATGATATCCGAAGTGCCTGTGAGTACATGTAATATATGCTAACAAATATGATCTGATGATAATTAACATCCGTATTTTTTTTATTATGAAACTTAATTACAAAACTTTGCATGGAAATTCTTTAGCTTTCGTTTAGAACTATTTCAAAATTGACAGAGTTCAAAAATTCAACAAATATCTAGACAAAAGAAGGACAACTCTTTTAGAATGGAAGCACTTAGATCTTTCCTTCCAGAAGAATGGCTGGTTTTCACATCTCACCTTTATGTTGAATTATTCTTTTGTAATGTCAACGAAATTTGGCAACACATGGTGTTCGATGTTTTTTTTCAGTTTGTTTACTGCCTAAACAAAAACAAAAACAGGAATTTTATTACCCCTTTTTTCAGTACCACATTATTTTACACAAACATACTATATATTTTCCTTATTTGACTTGACTATACTGCAACAAGAGTTGGGGGTAGGGGGGGGCAATATTTTCAATGAACATTTTCTACGAGGGCAACAAGACTTGTTATGGTAAAAAGTTATGTCGGGACCACACACATCCCCTCCCTTCCGCTTTTGCTTCACACCTGACCATAGAATGGTACAAACAAAGTAAATTGAAATTTAAAAAAAAAGACGAAAAGAAAAATGTCCGTAGAAATTTAATGCCTTACCCAGGGTTCAAATGCGCGAACAGAGATTTATTGATGTGTGTAGTTTTCTGAAGAAATATATTTATGGAAAATATATTTTCATATGAAGGCTGAAAAAAATCTTCCAAGGTTATGTTAAAGGTCAAGGGAAGGTCAAAGTCATAAGATGCCAATACTTCCCAAAAATCTTTGTTGATGTATGAAGTCTCATAAAAAGGTATGGACATTAATTTTTCTTTTTGGATAAAAAATAAAATAATAATACATGTAATTCGGTAAAGGTCATAAGGAAAGTCAAGGTAAAAACAATATAGTTAAATATTTGTATCTTTGAATCAAGTATGATAAAATATGTGTATCTTGAAAAGTTTCTTTTAAAACTAAGTAAAACGTAAAATCAAAATTAGTGATGGTTAAGTTATGGAAAAAGGTCAAGGTCAAAAAATTAGTTAAAAATAAAGCTCTTCCAATTGACAAAGAGTGGGATCGAGGTCAAGTGAAGCTCAAGATCTGTTTTATAGTCCCTATCAAAATATATGTATATGAGACCATGAAATTATTAGGAACCGTTTCTCCTAAATCTTGCCAAATGCAAAATCACTTATAAATATAAGTCTTAACAGGTTCAAGGACAGATATAAGGTCAAGGTCAGAAAACCCTGTTGAATAGTTCCCATCAATTTGTATCATTACATATATATGACTTTTGACAAAGTCATATTATTACATTGAAACTGAGCTTAACATAATAGTACATGTCAAGGAACCAGGAAAGGTCAAGGTCAGAAAATTTTGGTACATTTGATCATGAATGGCCCTTGATTAAACATTTTCAAAAATAATCGTTACAGCAAACAGCCAGCTGAGCTCTTTTTGTCTACATCTTGTATTGTCAATGTAAGGCAAAATGGGCCTCATAAGAAGGTCACAAGACAAAATGACCTTAAGAAGGTCACAAGAGTATGAAGATTTTGGTGGGTTTTTATTTATTTTGAAAGTAATGACCACCTAATTGACACTTAGGACAAGTCAGATTAATTAAGCTTAAATGTTAAGCAAAGATCTGTTTTCTTAAATCTAAATGCACCTGAGAATGTGACCGTGTGATACTTAATCTATACAGTAAAGATGCATTGTCAATGCTTGAAATGTAGACCCATCCTGAGGATATATGTATTTCACAATTTGTTAAAGGCTTATAGCTTAACTTTACAAATACATTTTGTTTGATACATGAGATGTCAGTCTATGAATTTTAAGATTTTCATATCTTAATCAAATTTTCAATGTATGAAATAAATAAGACTCTCCTGGACCCTCAGACTTTCAATGTATGAATTAGATAAGCCTCACCCTGGGGCCTGGATCCCAATTGTCTGATTTTTTGCTAAGAACAGATAAAAGTTATAATAACCTTGGGGGAGGGGCTGATCAGTGACAAAATTCATATCTTTATATACTAATATACATGTAAATGAATGCAAATATTGTCTAGATTGCAACAGAGAGAAATATTTCTCCAATTCATTACTTTCTAATAAATAAAAATGTTTATAATGTTGTGAACTTTTATTTCATATTTTTACTTCAACATTTCCACAAAATGGGACATATATAACAATACCATTGGTGTCTTAACAAAAAAAAATCATATCTTTCATAAAAGAATATGCTTCTTCACACAGAAAAAGGGAATATTTTCTATAAAATAGTTTGAATTTAGATTCTTTTTAATTCAGTTTCTATGGATAATCTATTCATATCATTATTGCTTTGAAACAAAATCAAACCTGTAATAAAAGGGGTTGGGAAAAAAAATATCGAGATTCAAAAACTTTACAGAGTTGAACGAAATAAAACATGCAGGGTTTCTTTTTCAACACATTTGAAGCACATGACGATTCAAATAACTGAGGTAGAATTTGGACAATTCAATCTCATTGTCTGGTCTAAATCAATCATTCTCTCTAATACACATTCAAAACAAACATTCAAATTCCAATCAAGATTGACTTTTTTTGCAATTTCATTATATTCAAAAATTAAATTTAATGCCAAAATTTTATTTTTGTCTAAAGGTTTCCCCCCCCCCCCCCCCCCGAAAAAAAAAATTGTGTATTTCTGGGACATATCTTTCATCAAAATCATTTATTTCAGGGGGAAAACAGTTCAGTCTGGCTATATCCAGGAAATAAATATTGCAAACCTCATACTCAATGAAAAATCAGAAGAAAAAAATATTAAAGGTAAAACCTTTGAAACAGTGAATCTTTTATCTAAAACCAGACACAGAACGTAGATAAGAATATTAATTTTAGCAACTTTATGGGAGAATAAATATTTCTATCAGAAATCAGGTATTTTTTCATTCTATATCATTCACGCATATGCAGACATTCAATACATTTCACAGATACACACACTGCTGTCTATCTCAAACAGATCTGATTGTTTCCAAAAAAATTTAAATAACAGGGTTTCAAATAGTACAAACCCTACAGCCATTTTTGTTTTAATTGAATACTTGCTGAACTCAAAACATGTATAATATATACATGCATTCAAATAATTTAAATGAAATAAAAGTGATTTGCAAATGCCTTTTTTGATACTATAATATGAATGTTTGATGATTATTAAACCTGAAAAAAAATGAGCATACAATACAATGAAGCAGACATGAATTCCTCATGACAAGGAAAATGTATACATTTAACTAACATACATGACAGACTGAGTATTTTTTACACATTTATTATTTATTTACACTGAAAAATAGACAAGGAAAAAATTGTTTATCACAAAAAAATAAATGAACAGTTACAATTCAATTGGCCAGGTAATGGAGTATATTCCCCCCGACTCTGAGCATTACGAAAGGGCTATACAATCAACAGAAAAAATGTGTTTCCTTAAAATGAAAGAAAAAAAAGAGATAACAACAAATCTGACAATTCTTAAATTAAACTCTAGAAAAGATTCAACAATAATAATGGATTCCAATGACCTTTGACCTTTCATGCTTCGTAATAATGATGATAGTGATGATGATGGTGATGTTCGTGAATGTGATGATGTTCATGCTTCTGAACCACTATTTTGTCCCCATCCACATCACACGCATGTTCGCGTTCAATCCACTCCGCCACTTGCTGCATGGCCAGGTCATGATCTTTGTCTCTATGACGATGTCGCCTGTGGTAGTGGGACATTGAATCAGGAACGTGCATGGGCAAGCTCACTGGCCGAAATCGTCCATGTTTGTGCGGTGACCCTTTGTGATGCCCTTTGGGTGACCTTGTCTCTGTTTCCTGGGGATCAAATGACCTTGACCTCGAATGTTCTGTCTTAGCACTGTCTAAATGCTGTTGTTTGATTCTCTGCGATTCTCGCTGGATGTTATCACATTTCTTGGTATCCTGACTTTTAGATCGCGGGGAAACTAAACTGTCTCCGATCCTAGCTGATTGTCCCGTACTGTTGTTGAGGTTTTGCGTGGACTGGGTTTGCGCGTTGTGCTCAATCCCGGCTAAGTCGAGGTAGTAGTTTCGCCTGTCTTGGCTTTCCTTTGCTCTCTCCTCCTGTATGTTATTGGTGGCGGTGGTGTTGTTGCTGGTTTGATTGTTACAGCTCGTCTGATTGGAGCAGTGGACCCGGTGGCGCCGCTTGTGGTGAGAGTGATCATGAGTCGTGATTCCTCGACAATCACTGTGGTGTCTTCTACGAAAAAAAATATTCATTTTGAAAAATAATCAAATATTGGAATTAGTAGATGTATAGACATCCAATAAAACTGATTCAAGGAAAAGGCTCTGTTCTACCTAGATATAAATCAAACATTTTAAATTTTATAACAGCAATGTTCAACTACCCTGCTTAAGTATTTATTCTTTACAAAATAAAAGAACCTTTAAAAGTAGTCTCTTTCTTTTCAGTAAAATTAACTACTCTGACTAGAAGTTGGAAATTAAAGTCTGTTTGTCAAAGTGAAATGATATAAAAGAAGGAAATAATCAGTCATTTCAAAAACATACAATTAATCTGTTATTGTCGTATGACGGACAGAACAAAGACGAATGTTTCTGAAGATCAGACATGAAATGGAAAAAAGAGTCCAGCCTCTTTAATATCATTTACTCTTTGAAATCAGTATCTTGAAAGAGTTCTTTTATATGAAAATTGTCCTCTCTAATAGATGACAATTCCTTCATCAGAGGATATCCTTTGAAGGCAAAAGAGAAAAAAAACAGTATGATATACTGAAATAAAGCTGGCTCTAGTACCAAAGATGCTTCAATTTAGGTTTTTTTTCCTTGCTGCGACCAAAGATCTTTGAAATTCCTAATTTATCTCTCTTTGAGCTTCCCTGTTTTTTTGTCTTTGAATAAGTCATAAGACAAATCTCCACAAGATCATAATCAATTTACACAAAGCCAAACATTATCTTTGAAGCCGATTAATAGCCACACAAGATTCCTAATTTCTTTCCTTTAAAAGGATGTCATTGTGAAAAATGACTTTTCATACTTTTGTGTTTTTTTTTTCTTCTCTTAATGAAAACGGCAGCATAAAAGCACATGTCAGGTTTGCGGACCTTTGAAGCTCCAAAATTATTCTCTTTTATTTCTTCTCCCTGATCTTGCCTTTGAAGGGAATTCTACAGTGGACTTAAGAGACTGAGTTTTGATCTCGAAGAAACACAAACACACCAGGAAAAATACCTATCCCTTGATTGCTTTTCCTTGAAACTTTTTAATTTAACTAAGTATTTCATCTCCATTACACTCATTAACACAACCATGAAAGAGGGCCTAATTCCTTTTTTGTCAAGACACCCATAACAACCCTACTGACATACACAACTGATCTTCCATTCATACACTGTATTCAGACATTAAAAGAATGATTAAAAAGAAATTTCCTTTTTTGGGGGCATCAGAATTCCTCCCCCAGAGAGAGAAAGAGAGAGGGGAAGTTGAGAGTGTTTTTGGTGTCCCCTAGAGGCAAAGCTTTTAACAATGAGTGTCATCGGTGTTTTATTTGGATGTCTTTGAACATAACAGTTCTGAGACACTTCACAGACCAGCCAGGCCAAATTCTATCCATAGATCTCCTTTGATGACAGCTCTCTGTTGATTCATGAGTTTGCTTTTAGCTTCCCTATCTATTTTTTTCCTATTCAATCTCCTAATAAGTTTGATGTAGCTTTGCAATCACAAATTCATCTTTGTTTCTCTCTCCTTTTAAGATGCACAATTCATCCCACATTTCCTCTTCCCATTAACCTAATGTTTTCAATCAAAATGTTGAATTCTATTTGTTCTCTCTCTATTTGTATGTGCTCTTTCCTTTACAAATCTATCCATTTTTAATCCTTTGCTGATAATTGATGCTTAGCCTAACATACACAAATACATCTTTCCTATTTGTATTCAAAAGCAGAAAACTAATCTTGTACAACTTCATCAAAAGTAAGACAACTTTCAAAGAAAATTTAATTCAAATTTGAAATTTAACCAGAGTTACCCTCCTTGTCCTTTTCATAAAATATGCTGAATTAATGAAAAATTACCCCATTTTCTCTCTTTCATTAGATCTAATATGGTTTCTTTATCAGTGGGAAAAAAAGACAATATTGCTTCATCCCAGCTAGCCCAGCCTCATCAGTTCAAAGAGTTTTTCTGCCTCAGTAGCCAGTCTGATTGCATTACATGTTTGAACTTCAAACGGAGGCTCACAAATAAAACTTTCTTCCATTGCTGCTTAATTACTCCCAGAAACATTTTCAGATGGCAATTTTATTCATTTATTCTGTGTGATCTCAAAAAATGATGTAGAAATATCACAAGAATAAAGGGATTTTTACACACACTTGGCATGTTTGCTCAAATGAGCCCAACATGTTAAAAGTCCATATTTTCCTCCTCCCTCTAGTGAAAACCCTTTCTTGAAATGTCATCAATCAAGGCTAGAGACTAATGGTGCAGATTAACCTTTTTTCACATAGAGAATTAATTTTATTTCACAGAAATATAACCTACTCTTAACCTGTTTTCTATAATTTGATACTTCTTATTGAATCTTTACTATGATGATCATGTGTAATTGATGTTTAATTTTCATTAAACCATCACTCCACTGAGCTGACAAAATACATTTTCTTTCACCCCCCCCCCCCAAAAAAAAAACAATCTGTGTGATGTCTATTGTCTCGTTTTTGGTTGAATCATACCAGTATGTCAACAGTTATACCCTGAAATAGCATTATCAAAAAAGATGTATAAGGACATTTATCCTTTATAATACAATAATTACCTTAACTGCTTCACATGGTTTCTTTCCATGTTTTCCTGAACCAATTCCACTAGCTGTTGTCTTTCTTGTGATGTCAGTTGAATCCTTTTGGATCCAGAACACACATTATCTTGACCATGAGCTGTACAGGGGTTATGACCTTTGACCTGACAGGAATTTTGACATTGTCCTTTCACCCTCTCCTGTAAGTCACTATTGCACTGTTTTGCAGGCAGTTGAACATGAGTGGCAGTAAGATTATTGTTCAGTTTTGCAAATTCTTTTGATTTGGGAGTGTCCTTGACCTTATCACTGTCCTTGACTTTGTCCTTTTTGCCCTTGGTAGGGGTCTTGTTTTCTGACAGCTGTGTGTTGTCCTGTCCCACAGTGAGCCTAAGTTTCAGAGTTTTTGTTCCATTGGAAGGAATTTTGATGGAAGAACCCACAGCGTCATATAAAGCTTTTAATAAACTGGACAAATCCTGCAAATAAAGTAACCAAATATAACAATTATTTTTAGAAATGGATTTGTTGTTTCATCATTTAGTTTTTGGGACACTTTTAAAACCTCTTTTATTCAAACATAAAACAGTTCACAACACCTACACTTGTGATTCGATACATATTTTGTCTTCAGTTCTTTCTTTAATTCTCCCTTCTACTACTCCCTCCCCCTTAATCATCTGCAGTCTACAGGGAGAGCTGTGTGATACTGTAAACCAATTATTATACGCGTCATTTTTTATTCGCGACTGACCGCTAGAGAACTAATCCGCGACGATTTATTTCCGCGAACAAGTGGTCACATTTTTTATTTCTAGAAATATTTTTTGTTTCAAATTAAATTTTTATATCCACCTATAAACTAAGTAAAATGCTACCTTGAGTACAGCTTAGGCATTATTCAAGACATATGCAATGCGTCCATTTAAAATCTTCTATCCGCCCCTAAATTGGGTAAAATGTTTCCATGAATATACTTCTTACGCATTATTCACGCATCTTCGCTAGCCAAGGGTTTCCGATCCGAAATCTACTCTACAACCCTTGGCAGATTTAGTCCTATCAAATGGGAACTTTAATTGCGCCGCCTATCGCCGTAATTGAGTTAAGTCCCTTGAAACCGTATAATATATGTCCAATGAAAATAGCTGTAACATACGTAAATCAATATGACGTTTGAAACAATATGGCGACCTCCATGCAGCCTGATGTAGAATATATCCTAACAACCACATAGAGCTGTGGGCAGTGGGCACACCTCAAAAGTGGTAGAAAATAACGTTCTTCGTGGATTTTTTGTGAAGAGTTTGACTTTACTTTCTAAATGTTGCCGTATCAATTATTATCAATGAGCCGTAACATTTGATTGGCTTAAATTGATGCACCTAAACTGCGGAACACGGACTTACGTGGTCCTTTCAATAATTCTTGAAAACATATATAATCAAAAGAAAAAAATTTCAAATTAATTGCTCCTTTGTTTTTTAGCATAGATCACATCCTAACTTTCATCCCGTGTAAATATTACTCTTCTTTTGCATAAAACACGAATAGACTTTAATTCAGTCGAATTTCGTCGATTAGTAAAAACCTTGCGAAGACTCGGACTTCGCAGCCAATCAAATTCGTTTGCGCGAGTTCTAAAATTTTCAGCCAAATCTGCCAAGGGTTGTAGAGTAGATTTCGGATCGGAAACCCTTGGCTAGCGAAGATGTATTCACGACGCTCGAATAAACTCGGGAAAAATCTAAGAGATTAAAGTTGATTTCAAACTCTCAATTGTAAAAGTGACTCATACTAATTGGGTAATCGACGCTTTCTAAGATCAACATAGCCAAAGGGCAATCATTATAAATGGTAGAGCAGGACCAGGCCATAATAAGTCGTACATGTAATTAACCAGGCTATCTCTAACTCGTCTGTGACAATAAATGAACAATAATAAACAAGCTGAAATAATTATTGACATTTTAATCATTTGTAGACAAATAGTTTAAGATTTGCCATTCGTTTTTATATTTTTTCTGAATGTTTGTAATCAAATTTCAACTGCTTCTAGTACACTAAAGTTCTTCCGTGATTACTTATTGAACCGTCGGGATCGGTATTCAAAATTGGACAAATAACTCTTACCATACCTCATGGGAATAAAATGAACAACTGGTTTGCGACGATAAATATCCGCGAGCAGAGGTTACTCGCGGAAATCGCGGATATTTATCGTACGCGTATAATACTTGGTTTACAGTAGTACCACAGCAGGTGAAGGCAGGCTGTGATCTATTGCTCACAACACAAGAGAAACACCAACAACTGTTTTCTCATTCTGCCCCTATCACCTTTCTTCCTCCCGACAAGATGCACTATTATGACAGATGGATATTTGCCCAGAGCTTGCACTGAGGCATACAAAGTACCCTTTTGATGCATACCTAAGACAAGGGCTAACTTTAATACAGAGATAGGAAATAAATCCCATCGGTGCTTGTGTTAAAGAGTATCTTCTTAATGCCGATTACTCAGAAACTGTTGTACTGAGCTGGAATGCAGGGCCGTCAATACACTCGCTACTTCAAACACATAGATTTGTTTTTTTCCCCCTAGAGCTTATCGCAAACCTTGTCCAATATCTTACCGGTACGTGCAATTAAAATTGACTGGCCGTCCTTTTGGGCTTAATCAGCTGTGTACATAATATTCAATTTGCAGTAAACCTTGGATGAATAAATGACAACAAGACTAAATCCAACATGAACAATATAATTCAGGGCTGCTCTTTGATCATCCTGAACATCACCATCTTCCATTGGAAAAAAAATAAACCTGTCCCCTCTATCTAGCCGGCAGCTGCCGATTCTATTTTTTCTGTACGCAGCTATAAAATTGATAAGGCTTCCACCTGTTAACTTTGGGTATCCCACTCTTTATCATTTTATGAACAGGGATCACATTCTTTTTTGCTTTTGGTGAATATTGTATGAAAAATATATTTTTTTATCAATAAATTTTCTACATTTTTTCAAATTTTATGCTCTCTAAAATATTTCTTTAAAACTTTCTTTGGAACAATAATTTATCTCATCAATGGCGCAAAATTATAAAAATTGTCCCATTAAAGGTTTTTTGATTTTATGTGAACTCATCTTATTATCTCTTTGCCATTATCTGACTTTTGATTTGTAGCATTAATTAATCTAACTCATACAGGGTAAATAAACTATACCTCTCTGGTGATTTTTCCGTGTCCATCAAAATCATACAAGGTAAAGGACCACTCCTGTTTATTCTTCTCCAGACCCTCAAAATGGACACCGCATTCAAACTCCTGAAAAGGAAGAGTTATCCATCAACTTTTACATAGAGTAAACATACTTTAACATTTATACACAGTGAACTAAATTGAGTGAAAGAAATGTTATGTCTCCAAGACTGAATTATTTTTTCTTAATTCACATTTTTTAGCAAGTGTGTGCACTTCCTTTACCATAAAACTGCCTTCTACTGTTTAGATGCTACAGGAATAGTGATAGTAAATTTGACACATCTTAAAACAGTGAACAATTTGCAAACTTGTGTGCCAATGTGAATTCTGGCTATTTGTTGGGGAATTTATTCGATTGATGAATTAATCACCCATGAATAAAGAACATTGTGTGTGAGTTTGCATCTTCTGCTGCAGCCAGAGAACTTTAGTGTCTTATTGGAGCAAACATGCACACAAGTAACAGGCATATGGAGATAATCAATTTATGGCAGCTAATGAGGAATGGTGGAATAACAGGCTTTAGGTCCTGGCTGTAGCATAATTACTTCCTCCGGGAATTTGTGTTCAGTTTTAGGACAGGGGAATCAAATTTGCACAAATAAGTATGTCATTTATACATGCAAACGGCATTAACCATCCTGCACTTAGAATGCTCGTTTGTTACACAGAAAAAGGAAAGCATAATCCAGCTATCTATTTTGGGTGAAATTCTAAACTTAGTGCTTTAGAATACCATATTAATTTTTTATACCACTTACTTTTCAATGCTATTCATAACATATTAAAAATGATTAACTAAAGGCAATTTAAGGGCACGGAAAAAAAATCGGGGTGAGATCGGTGAAATAGATCTCTCACTTATAATCCCCACTCAAATCGGTGGGTCGAACCGCAATTACAGTTTCCTAAATGGGTGTTATTTGTTCAATAACAAAAAGAGAAATGGTTGCAGCAATAAAATATTAATACGGAACTTGAAAATAGCTGTGTAGTTTGTTTAACAACAGCACACGGTTCAGTGAATTTATTTCGCTGTCAGGTGTCGAAGCTCCAGATACGCAAGCTGTTTTAAAAAGAATATTTCATTGGATTCAAATGGTAATTGACCACCAATTTAAACATGAAAAGATAACGAAATACATTAATTACAAGAAGCAGTTGATTTCATTTCCATATTAAATGTGGATACCCAAGATATGCTATTAGTTTTTTATAAGAAAAACTTTCTTCGCCCAATGCATTAATATTACTCATATCTATAATTATTTCAATATTAATTTACTAATGTTTAAAGAGGCTTCAAAATTTCATCTCTAGAACCCATTAGATATTGAAGGGAAATTAATGAATATTGAACATTATTGCTTGTACACATTTTGGCAAATGTTACGTGTACTTTTTGACAACTAGCTGTTCTGCATAACACCTATCAACATATCTACTAGGAAAGCATGACTCAAAAATTTCATTCAGGACCTTTCAAATTTTGAGCAGTATACACATAAAACACGGTGACCTAAATATTTCCGTCCTTTTATGATATCCATCCAATGCCTTCTCAGGTAAAAGACCTCCCCCTTTTAAATACATAGGGGACAGCTTGTAAACAATTAATTCTCAGAAGTCATCAATATTGGAGGACTGAGGACATCAAAAGCTTCATCTAATGACCAAGCCATGTTCTCCCCGGTCACAGTGACACCGGCTTCAGGGGGAGAATGGCAGTTTTATTTCCCTGACTCTTGCTGGGCCTTTATTACTTATTTATGTACGTTTCAAAGGAACTCAATACTTACTTGTTATTTTGGAAGTTGTAGTTAAGGTTGAAAATTTAGCACATAAATGCCATACAAGAATGCTTCATCCTGCTTCATATTTCCTTAGAAGTGATTTTTACGATTTGCTTTGTTGGGGACTGACCAAATGTGTTTCTAGGTTGACACACAATGGTACTAGAGACAGACACCTGCCATTTTATTTGTGGCAACAGGATCTTCTTGATTCATTGAATACCTCCCTATTTTCCCTACCATCCGTCTTTAAAAATCACCTGTTTATGGCAATTTCTAGTCAGAATTTAAACACACTGATTTGGAAAATATGGGGAAAACAATTTCCTTTATACACATATAGCGAAGTAATTTCATAGGTCCCAGTGACTTCCCTATAATCCAGTTTTACTGCATATGGGGAAAGTCTTTAAAGAAATTTCTCTTTCTCATACCTCAACCTCTTCCCCTTTTCCCTTTTTTCACTAACTCGGATAATTAATTCTGCAATACCTCATTTCTTTTGAATTGTGTTTAAAAATAGAACACATTATTCAAATTATTTATTTTTTACAATATTGATATTTATCACACTAACACCCTCAATTTTCTTCAATATTGATATTTATCACCCTAACACCCTCCAATAACTTCAAAGGGGTCTTGTGTTACAAAGCCACAATAACACATATACCTACATGAATACTTACACACAAACTTGTTTGGTTGGTGCACAAAGACAGATATATCTCTTAAAGGTATGGCTCATTTAATTTCACACTATTTCAAGTAAAGTATTCATTAACCGATGTACGACCAAAAAAAAAAGAATTCTTTTGATAAGATAGAATTACTTTGCACTATCACTAGACCCAACTCCTGTACTTTTACAAGAGAATCAGATAATGGAAATTGACAAATGAATATTGAAAAACACTTCAATTCCACATTCAGGGTACATCCACACTTCACCGACTTTCGATTCAAAAGACAACTTTTTTTCTCAAATCAAAAATTCATTTTAATATAAGTCCAACAACCTTCTACATTTTTCTTTGAAAAAAAAATTAAAAATGGATCAAAACCATCTTCTATAAATCATACTCGAAAATAATTTTCAATGAAATTAATGTCAACTACACTGTTCTCACAAATCCAATAAAATTATCTGATAACCAAGCTTCAGTAAATGAATTTTATCCCCCCCCCCCCCCAAAAAAAAAAAATAAGCCTGGAAATATTTTCGTACTATAGCATTAATATTATCAGCCAAAAGAAAATGGTATTGCTCTCGATTTGACAAAATAATTCTTTAATTCACAAAATGCATAAACTGAAAATACATTTTTTTTTTCAAAAAGAAAACATGTCTTAAATACTTACCTCAATATTAAGAGGAGGTTTCTCCAAGTCCTGTTCCAGCTCCAGAACTTTGGAGTTCTCTGTGTCCATCTTCTGAGGAGGGAGTTCCACTGGAATAAAAATCACCGGATGATTAATACACACTTCATGTACCATGACAGATTCATTTATCACCAAAAACTACAGCTCCTTCCCCTCACATCAAGTCAAGATATATTCCCGATAAAATCACAAATTCATGGGATGCTTCTGATGAAAAGCAATGGCTGTAAAATTGACTTTTATTTTAGCTTTTTATTAAAAAATTCCTTCATTATTATAATGTTATTAATAAGTAGAAGCATGACATTGAATAACAATGCCTGCTGCCTCCTCTTCGTTAATTATCTGCTTTCCTATTAGAATTTTTGCCTATCAGACAATCAAGCAATAGAACTTAGTTCCACAGAAAACAACTTACAGATTAATTAACACATATTGTTTAATTAACATACCTCGGAGTGGAATGTTGCCTCCTTTATTATCCAGGCTGACTGATAGTTCCTGTAAATTAGAGAAAAATCAGAATGACTCATACGGTTCACAGTATCAGTAGCAAATCTCTCAAGAAACAGCTAAAACAAATCTCAACTGACAAAACTTTCAGAAACCTGCACCTAAAATGCTGAAGTCAGAAAGAGATTCCATCTATCTTGTTATTTTTTGGTGTTATTATTTTAACAATTTTCACTGCCGATCCTTCGGCATTCTCCAAACTTTGATAATACTAGCCCCCATATCCTTACAAAAATGGCAGCTGCTACTTCTCAAAAAGCCCGAAAAACATTCAGTTTGCCAACATTATTATCGAAAAACTGTCATTTGATCAAACTTGTTCTTCTGGTTTCAGACTCCCTCTGAACTTACAAAAGAGATGCTTGGCAAAATGTTCAGACATTATAGAGAGGAACGATCATACCGAAACCCAGGCGCTAGTTAGAATCAAAGAGAAAATAAATCAGCCACCGCAGAGGCAAGTGTTTAATCATCATCCTTACTCCCAAAACTTTGCGGAATCCCAAAATCTTCGGAATTGCTCCCCTCCAGGGTAATCGTTTAGGACTTGCCCTCATTCCTCTAGCAATTTGAGGTAGAATGGTTTAGACAGCCAGTGTTTGAGCCCTGTGTGTTTACCTATAGATAGAGGACCCCGTGTTTACCTGGGTAGATAATCTACCTGGCTGGCCCCGATCAAAGCTCCTCTGGAGTGAAGATGTTATGTAACCTGACATCTGTTATGACATAATCTGATTGGAGTATTATTACCTTTTGGACACCTAGCCTTTGATGCTTGCATGGAGATGTTAACACCTTAGTGCTCAGATGTTTAACAAGCCGCGATAATAAAAACCTCAAAAGCACACACGCATCCAAAACTGTAATTAAGATCTGTATACAACCACATGTCTTTATAGAAGCAAAACCTCATTCTGCCTGGTAGGTTTTTTTTTATTCTTTAATGAAGAGATGAAATCTCTTATTAGTGTCTTTTTACCCCTTATATCAAACTCCCTTTAAACCTTTCAATTAAGTCTGGTTAATTTACACATCTAAAATCTGCATGCTAAATTTGTGTGCAGGCCTAATTTTTTTTTCTTTTAAGTTAACTAATTTTTTAAACTTAAGAAAAAACAATCAAGTAATTCTCCCAAAACACACCATATACCAAAAACCTTTTACAAACTATACACAGACATAAACAAATCTATTCAAAATTCTTACCTTTAAAGAATTTAAGAAAACCATTCCTTATAAAGAAGAAAATGCCCACGAGTGGCAAAGTATTAAAACTCTGGGCTCCTTATGAGTGGCCTTTGTTAGTATCGGAGAGAAACACAGGACAATCTACCAATCACAGACAGTGTAACAAGAATCAATAACAACTCTCCTCCCTGTGTCTCAAGATCAAAGCCAGTTACATACTGGGGGGAAGGTATCAAAGGTGGTTACTTCCTTGTAAAGAGGGCAGGGCCACGACAGAGGAAGATGGAAGTCGTTAATTAGCCGCAAACATCACCTTTGACTTGATGTCTAAATGTTTGTGTACGATACATATACTCTAGACTTGATACTTTAAGGTCACATACAACCTAGGCAAAAAGCATTTTGATGTATAAAAGCTGGTGGTCTTGTTTGTGTACATTGATCCTTATCAAAATGTTTTTCGATAAATACAAAATAGCCCTGACTAATTACTCGCTGGAGCATGAAAGAGCTGGTCTGGGTGTATTATGAAGAGATAGAGGGCGTATATTTACACAGAAAATGTGAACATCTGTTTCAATTAATCCTCTCAAAAATAATTATTCTGAATGAAAAATGGGTGTTAATTGATTATATACACAGGAGTGTGGCCCTCTGATGTTGATTATCTAATCAAACAAAACCTTTTTGACAACCCATAACGATTTCTCTTTTTTCTCTCTATTAGGACAGTCCCCCAATATTTTCACACCTGTTGTCAGGAAGCTTTGAGTAATTGCCTTCAGTCTTCTTTTTTTACAATCTAGCCTGTAAAAGCTAGTCAATTAAAGTGTCAACATGCATGTACAATGTCCATAAAACATGCACGACAGTGAACAATTTATAGACCCTTCTGTTCTCTTCACCTCTGCCAGTGCATTATAGAATTCGGTTTCCCATGTTTGTTTTCATTGTGAAAATATGCAAAACAGGACCCCTGAGGACACCTTCCAAGATGTTAGACATGGCATGTACCACGTTCTTTGATTGTGAATAACATGCCTGTCAAAATTTAGGGAATTCGTACTGATGAATTCTAACTGCATGGTCATATTTATAATATATGATACACTAAGCTACTGGTGTCAGTGAATGATTTGGCATTTTGACACTATATACACAAAAGTCTTAGTAATTCATCATTTTCATAAAATTTAGCCAGAATTTCACAATTTATCTCTGAAGATCAAAATAAAATTTCACCTATAGAAGTATTCATAACTTTATGTAATATCTTGAAAGCAAGATAAAATGAACCATCTGGTTATTTCTATTCTTTATATTTTCAAAGGTACTGGTGATATTAAAGCATGTTTAGTTGATTTGCCTATGCTTTTATTTCATACTATTTTTATAAAAACTTTTCTGCTGTGCATTGTTTCTTCCTCCCTTTTGATTTCCTTTGATTTCTATACATTCAGTTCATTAAAGCAGTCCCTGTTTTGAACATTGTATCTTTTCAAAATAATTGGCATTTCCCTTCATCAAACATAATTTTCATTGTTAGGCAAATTCAAGCATTTTTTACATCTTCGAAATAACCAAACAGAAAAGGTAGCCCTTCTTCATTTGCATTTCTATGGACATTGCTATTTCTTCAGGGAAATTTGATGTATGACAATTTCAATCCAAGCAGATAAAAACTTCCACCCAACCATCTCCAAAACCCCATTTGTCACCATTCACAATTTATTCTTCCACTAATCTGCTCAGATCATCATTTAATTGTACCATTATTCCTATGAAAATCTCTGCCCTTGGGTCCCTAGACTCATTTGTTGAGTGCTCTTGATGAATCTTGTCTATTCATTCAATCATACATCATATCTGAAGCACATATTAAAGCAAAAAATTGAAATCTTCTATTTATTGACTCATGCATAGCCGAGTCCATCTCTCTTACTCACCAAGACCATTAACTTGACCATGAATTGACTCATAGACCCACAACTATCACCAAATCTTGCTCAATGGCCAAAAAGCATAAGCAGACGTACATTCTCAAAGTTAAAAATCCCCCTTTTCCGGTTGACATTTAATGTTTTCCCTGCAGGCACAAAATCATTCTAATCACATTTCCCCGTAAGTGCCCCTCTCCTCTGATCAAACAGATTGGTATATGCATTATTGATGAGCACCATGACTCTTATTTGAGGGTCGGCCACATTGTCAGGATCAAAGAAAGTCTTGTCATCACCTAGCCCCGCCACTGTTTGCCCAATAAAAGGCAATTGACTTCAATCTTTGATGAAGAACTTGGAACATTTTAATCATAATACCCAGCCCTGTTTCTCCCTACCTTCTAATATATACATCATCCAAGAGGAACACAAAAACCTTAATTCTCTCTCCATCTCTTTGCTTCCACAAGACTTTGCCAAAATTCTCAAAGAGAATTATCAACATTGTGACACTGAAGTCTTGTAAATATTTTTCAATTTGTAAACAATTCCCAAGGAATCAAAGCAGATCAAATGGCAAGAGAAGAGTTAAGGAACACAGAAGGATCGAGTCATGGTTTTAAGCTGTTTTGCAGCTTTTCATTCTGAAAAAGGTTGAGATACTTTTTTACAATGGAGGTAAAATGTGCTCAAATGCTCACATTTAGTACTAGTATATTCAGTAAAATATACCAAATTTAATGTCCTTTTTATTCATCTGAAGATACACATTTGAACAAAAAAAATTATAACAATGAACTTAAATTTACAAAACTCTTCCAGTATAAAGCTAAGTATACACCCTCTGTGTTAAATTTTCAATGAATACAAGCTCTTGAAAATCACTGTATACATATTGTAGATGAAGTGCAAATCAAACATAATATTAGATAAATATTCTTCAAAACAGGAAAACATATAAATAAAATATATACAAACATTATAAATAATACGATCAAATAAGATCAAAGTATGAACAGTGGATTTCAGAGATCTGACGATAACATGGATCTAAAAAGGATCTTAACATCAGCTGATTGGGAAGTCAATCATGTTTCCTAAATGTATATAAGACACACGTGACTCACAAAAATCTAGATAACCATCAAGCAATAAAAGCAATAGTATATCTCTTACATTATTTCACATCAGATCTTATCATTGGAAAAAATTTTAATGTTAAAACACTTCCTCGACAAAAAAAGTGGATACAGATCAATTGAAAATCAAGTTGCACATCAAAAAAATGCCTTTTGATGTCAGGGAGAACTATTTCAAGCCTAGTCTATCAAAGCCAAAAGTACAACTATATATGCATTACATTTATATAGCCATCATCCATATCTATAAAATCACTTCACTTCCAAAGAATCAATTAAGAAAAATATATCCAGTCCTGTCAATTTAAAAAGACTGTCTAAAAAAGACATTGAAGAAATCTGCTTTTGTCAGCATTGACATTTTGTAGGAATTATAATTTTATTCTCTTGTTCATTAAAACTCAAATAAAGATAGCAACTTCTGTTAATTGAATGGAATATGGAGATGCAATTGCTAGTCATTTATTAATGAGTTTGAACATCAAATTAATATCTAGAATCAACTTAATTGCTCGTCCAATACATCTATGGCCTTGACCTAAATGCAACCACTAATGTCTTACCTATATCAGAATAATTTTGATAGAAATGTCAAATCCTTACAAATTTTTGAGATATATTTAATATCAGAAAATAATATCAATTAACATTTAAGCCCCTTTGCTTCCATTTATCAACTAGATCAAGTACAGTGCATTATCTAATTGTTCCCTACAATTAACTCACAATTCAGAAATTGAATTGATTTAGTGTGATAAATGATTTAAATTGGGATATTGACAGCTAGGGTCATTTTTGTGCATAAAGTACTGAACCTTAGCACTTCAAATGTGCAGAGGATTGACAATTTTCTACACGTATAATTCTCAAAAGGGGAGTAAATCAACTGCAGTCTTTTATAAGATGAGGACTCAAAAGAGAATGTTCAAACCTTGTACAACATCAATTTTTCAAGATAAAAAATAAAATCATTATATATAGTAAAAGATCTAACAAGTGAAATGAAAGGCAATGTCATATACAATAAAAGGGAAAAAGAATTTCTACTCCCCAAGAGGGCTCTTTGTTTCTTTCAAGTAATACAACTAGACATTTTTTACTGAATTTTTACTGAATTTTCTTACTTGATTCCTTTTAGAATGAAAGTTCAAAAGCTTTTAGTTCACTTTTATGATCATTCAAATCAAACTCTCAATAGTATTAAAACAATAAGCAGAAAATCTTCTGGGACAATTTTGAAATGTTAAAAGAGAAATAACAATTCCATTCAATTCTGTCTTATCTTTTCTCACTGAGCTTGATCGATTCATTGGTTTGTATTCAATATTTAATTAATGCACTTCTGATGAAGAATAGGTACCCTAATGCTAATTAATAAATAATTTCATCTCAAAGCAAGGATTGAAACACTATATATGTATAAAGGGATGCAAAAAAACTATTAAAGAATTAACAAAGTACACTTCTAAGAGCTTGAAAACAAATGCAGAAAGACTTTTATGTTCTCGTAAAAATAAAATATAGAGCAAGTCATAAATCATTCATTTTCTTTTGTGTATATATAGGTATTTTAAAATTAATCAAACAATATAATTATTTTATTACTGAACAGCTGAACTACAAGGAGAAGTTATGCTTATATTCAGAGAAAAAAATTCTTACACATACACCATGAACATGATGAAATTATTTTTCTTCAATTTCTATCACTATCCATCAAAGTTTTAAAATGTTTTTTTTTTCTTTTATCAAAAAAGAATGCATTAAAAAGGAATAAACAGTTCTTTTCAGTTGTTGATCATTAATATTTTAATCACATGACAAGTAAATTTCAATGTATTTAAGAAAAGGCATTTCAAGTTGTAGACAGCATGCATGGGCAAATCAAACTGGTATTCTTTATCATGTTTATAAAATGTCTTAAATAGTAAATTATCAAAGAATTGAAATGCAGTAAATTCTGCTTTATCTTGGCATGAAAATTTCAAATTAATACAGATACAAGGCTACATGCTATTGAAGAAAATCCGAGCCAGTAGGTTCTAAACTTATCTAGTCTTTTTGATGGATAAAATAGAATTATCCATTTTAGAATAATGCTGTTTTTCTCAAAAGTCTAAACCTTGTTGAAGTACTTGCAACGGAGGATTTTTTTTTTATCAATGGTCCTGGATAAAATATGCCTTGTAAAAAATCCCCCCTATACACTACAGAATCTTTTAAGTATTTAGAGCTTCAAAAAGCTTCCACGGCAATACATAGCGAAGACAACCACTAATTG